AAAGGCCAAAGGTGGTGGTAGGAGCACTCGGGGCCATGACTCCTAAGCTGGGAGAATGGCTCCATCAGACCACAGGTGTTCCTTTTCTGTCCAGACGAGTGCAGTGCTAGGAACAGCTAAGATACTGCGCAGAACCCTCAAACTCCCAGGCCTCTGGTAGAGGACCCGAGACTGAGGAAGACACGTACCACCCATAGGGGCAAGAGGGGATTTTTTTTAATGTTATATATAATGTTATATATGTTGTGTCATATGTTATATGAAATTCATATGAACCTTCCTCCAACACTGCAATTTCCATACCAGTGGCACTGGCAAAGAGTAGCTATTGGAAGCTGTTGCATGGCACTAGAAAACCTGTGGCACTTCTGAAGTATAGTTGAGTTATAGTTTACTTCATTTAACAAAAATAACGCACGAGCAGAATATCTGTTGCGTAGGTTAGAATACTTATTTATTAGTTACAAAAATGTCCAATTTTGGATGTTACTACAATGTTAAGGTTTATCTTGGTACAATGTTCTGAATCATCTTTTTTTAACTCCATAAGAGAAACAAACCACAGCAATATTTTCTGTAAAAATCTTAACTAATTTTAATTTTAATAGGGGGAAAAGAACAACTTTTAAGACTAGATGAAGCATTGTTCATTTTTTGTTGAAATTTACGACCTCAATAGCTATTAACATATAAAATTATGTTGCATTTTGACACTACCCACAGCACTAAAAAATGCAGAGCTGCAGATGCTAAACAGTCTTCAGGGAGTTTGTTTTTCAGGCCATTTTCTATCACTTCTATTTAAAAGGATTGTCATCTAGGTCTCAGTTTGTTTGGAATTCTTTATCCATTGCCTTCTTCAATGAGAAATGAATTATACACAATTTCCTGCACAAAGTAGACCCACGTGCTTATGTCTGGTGCTTCAAACTTGGGAAGCTTTTGCTCAAGCTGTCAGCAAGAGTCTGATCCGCTCCATGCAGCACTTCAAGAAAACTCTCCACCTGGGAAAAAGAAGAGTATATTTTGTCATATACTGTATAGCAAGTTCAATCAGGTAAAACATGGGACTTGCTAAGGAGGATGAACCTATTTTATCAAGCACCTTGATCAGGATGTAGATCCTTTCCAAATTCCATTCACTAGTTCACAGGACATAAAATAATTTCTACAGTGCTATGTAACCAACTGCCTTCAAAGCTTTCTAGGTGTTGAACTTCAAATATCAGTCAATACAACTTCTATGACAATGGAAAACTTCCTTCCTAAAATATTCATTGCTGCCCTTTAAACTATATTAAAGGTATGGAGAATGCATCATGTAAAGAAAGTATTTCTTGGCTTAGAAAACAAAACAAACAAGGTTGTAGTATTTCAGAAGGACTTTGGGTAGCATACAACAATGAACAAAATTATAACACCAACATGACAATAAAAACCCTCTAATCATAGAATACCTATGATAGATGTTCTCAGTCAAATCAATTGGTGAAATTCAAAACACAGAAAGCTTTGAAGGCAGTTGGCTACATAACACTGTAGAAATTATACTAGAATTTACCTCCTATAACTACAAGAAACCCCTCTTTGTTCTGGCAGCTTCATCACCAGTGTTTTCTCCAGCACCAACATGTTCCCTTATTTTAACAGTGGGAACCCCAAAACCTAAGCACAAAAGTAAATTCTGGGAGTTTATTTATTGATATATATCCTGTCTCTGGTTCAGGAGCTCAAGATGGTAGAACTCCCTCCCATTTTTCCCCACAGCAACAACCATGACAGGTAGTTTGAGGTGAGAGCAACACCAACCCCAAATCACCCGGTGAGCTCCCATGGCTGAGGGTGGACTCAAATCTGGGTCTTCCCAGTGCTGGTCCAACACCTTAACCATTTTTAAGACATGGGTTATACAGCTTGAAGCTGGGCTGGGGAGAGGGGAAAAGAAAGAGAAGAGAGACAGGTTTTCATTCTATCAATGAAATTTTACCCACCACATTTCTGAACATAAACTTCTAAATCTTTTTTTAGGTCAAGCTACGTACATCAGCTATATTTATCCTTGACAATACCTAAGAATCAACTTAAACATGGCTTTTGCTTATTTCAGAAGTCATACATACCGAAGATGAATAAAATGGGAGGAGATTCTGAAATGCACAAGAACATTTCTGTTCATTTATATGACCTTGCTTGAGCCCCTCCAATATGTTTTCCTGAAAATACCAGCAAAGAGTTACATGCTGTTTTAATAAAGAATTTTTAATAAAGCTTATTAAATTTGGTTGCTCAACCGTGAAAGACAAATATAAACAGTACGCTCCAATGAAAAATGTTAGTCATGGCAACCCAATAATCAAAGAGTATTTAAAAAAAATTAATATTAATAACAGCTCTGCATATTGAAAATACAGAATGCTGAATCTTGAATACTGAAGTATTTAATATTCCAGTATGCATAAAACAATCTTTGAATCAGTCTGGCTGCAGAAAAGGTGTTAAAGTGTAATATTCCATAATTGCTGGAAGTGTTCTGTAGAGTTTTTTATAGAAGAGCTGAAAAATAATCATTTAAAACAAGAAGATAGTTACACATTCTCCCTCAATCAAAATAAATTGATATGTTTCATTAAAAAGGCTCATCCCACAGAGGACTGACCTTCTCTGTCTGCAGTAACAATTTTCTAGTGAGACTCTTGCCAAGTCATAATATGCAAGCCAGCCACATTTTTCCTATCATTTTTAACATGGTGAAGGTGTTCTACAAATATGCTCATAACACATCAAAATATAGATTCCATTCCTTTCCCATTCTAGAAGACAATTTCAAAATTAGTAAGACTACACATGCTTCAAAAATTATTCAGAAGTACTTCAGAAGATGTGACAGTGCAAGTGTAGCTCCATTAAAAGCAGCCATGTCTTTTTTTAAGATCTGGGGGGGAAAAGTTGCTTTAATAAATAACATTAAAGATTTTTTTTTTTTTATCCACACTTCAATTGTTACCGATTCTGCGGCGACTGCCTGGATGAGTCCCTGCAGTTTTCAAGGCAAGGTGTTTCAGAAGTGGTTTACCATTGCCTCCTTTCTAGAGCAGAGCCCCGCAGGAGGCGGGGTTTCCGTTGCTTTGCGCCTTTTTCAGGCGTGCGCGGCTTCCGTGTTACTGGCAACTTGGTCCCGTCTCCCATGCAAGCGCCGCCAGCATTTTTCCTCCCACCGGGGTGAGAGTACCCATTTATCTACTCACATAAGTTTTCGAGCTGCTGGGTTGGCAGGAGCTGGGGAGGAAGCACGAGCTCGCTCTGCTATGCGGAGCTGA